TCACTTCACTCGGGCTTTGCATTTTTGCTTTGGTTTTTCTGGACTTGATGATGGCGGCGGTGGCGGTCTTGGCGAAAGATCCAGTTCCATCTGAGGCACTCTGTCGTCTTTTCTTATCTGCTGAGGTTCTGGCAAAGCGCAGCTGCATCGAACCTGACTAGATGTAGCTGCACGCATCTTTGTTTTCCCTGCAAATCTCGATCTGTTGCTCTTCTTGCTGTTTGGCCGCTGATGCCAAGGAAGAAAATATTCTTCCTGTAAAGAGGCCGAAACTGAGCAAGGGCACATCAAGATATGTAGGTTATACAAAGAAAAAGAAATGTCATGGTCGTTTCAGCAGCTCACGACAGCCAACACGCTCCATCGTGTCGGGATTGGAAGTATCCAGCACGGCTGTTCCGAGTTCTGCTGCTCTTGTTATTATTATTCTTCAGAAATTCTGCACACCTTGTTCGCCAAAGTACGCGCGCGCGCGTGCACAGAAAATAGATGCGCTGAGCCGTTTCTTGTTCGATTTTGACAAATAATGGCTTGTTGTTTTGCTCTCGACCTTGGCTATCCTTTTACCGTTCAATATTTTGCGGAAACGCAACGGCTCCCCCTGTTTTTTTAGCCGAACTTTGGCCAAAGTTACTGGAAAACCCGGAACTCGTTTGAAAAAATACGAACGGTGGAAGTCTTGGAACGTCTTTCCTGCGTGTGGATTCAAAAATTCAGGCAGTTTGAGCCAACCGTAATGAATCCCGTAGAGTTGAAAGTGAGTGATATTGATGGGAAAATGCGATTTAAGCACTGACCGATTGTGTGGTACAGTATATGCACGCGCCTGTCACGTGCATGATGTAGCTGGCGACGCTAGCATGCCAATCCGTGAACCCTAAATTTAGATGTACTGTGTGTCTACAGTAAACATTACAGCGTGTCGTACATTTGATTGGTTGAACTATGCAGTGACTAGGTGTCACGTGAGTCACGTGAGGTGCACCTCTCACCATCATGTCCTACATTTGGACAGCTGTCCATGAGATCAAGAGTACATAAACACGAGAGAGTGTAACTCCGCTTGGTCTGGCCATGGCGGAATGTTTCATTTTGTTGACTTTTCTGGAGATGACGAGTCCTACCGTACGAGGCATGTACTACGAGTCTGTGGGCGCGTGAGCTTGTACAGTTTTCGTTAGGGGTTGTCGCAAAAGTTTTTTTGTCGTCTCTGAAACGAGAGCATCATTCGTTTTGGAGTGGGAGGGGGGGGGGGGGGGATGCGGGTGTGAGCCAAAATCACAACTCGACCGACACTGTACATTGTACTTGTACATGCATGCGATTATCGTCGTCCAGCATAGCAAGCTGCGTTCGTTTCAGAGTGGGGGGAGGGGTCCGAGTACGAAATAACGATATTGCCTCCATGGTCCTAGCCAACCTGAGATTGAACGGGGGGGGGGGGGCTGGGAAAACTATTAGGGACCATTAGCAAGCCGTGAAATGTCAACAGGAACGAGTTCATCGGAACGCACGTGAAACACGACGTGATTGAGAATTAGCTTCTCGCGTTCACAACCCGTCTACGCGAGTCGGCTGCTTTCCAGTTTCAAACAGTTTTCTGATATTTTTACTGGCAATTATTTTTGCGAACTTTTTCTTGAGAACAATTCTCAGCCTGACTGACTTTTACCCGAATGAAAGTGAAAGAAACCCCATGACAGCCACATCGCCGATGGATGGGTGCAGCAAAGGGTTGTGTTCACGAGGTCCATGCCAAAACATAAATGAACGAGCAAGCTGAAGTTTGTCTTGAACAAGCATAAATGTTGGCACTGTGGTTACCCTCGATCCTGTTCTGTGTCATGTTAGTAACGGTTATGCCAAAATCAATGGTCCTACTGGTTGTTTGGTACGTTTCGCCATCGTATTTATTCCAACAAGAATGGGTGAGGCATTTTTCGAAATTTGAAGAAAATCGCAAAGACCAAACGAGGCGCGATTTACGGTGCTATTCTCCGCTTCATGGTTGAATTCGCACGTACTTGACTAAAACCCACTTGTTGCGGTCATGGCGAGTAGACCCCTCCGAACTCGTCAAACACGAGTATGTTTCGCGTGGTCAGGACGGGACTCTAACCCAGCTCCCCCTTCGCGTTGCAGTTTCACGGCTTGCTAATGGTCCCTATCACATAGCATTGTCGGGTTTACGGGGGGGGGGGGGGGGGGGGGGCACGCTCCCAACCCCCTCAAAACAGTTCGACCTGGGTTTGAAAAAACACCAGGCTGCTACATGCACCATGTGCACAGGCGGTAGACTCTACGCGGTGGGAAGCAGCGTCCAAAACCGGTTGCACAGACCGTCGGTGTGTGAGCGGCATTGATTGCACTGCGAAAGAAATGATCGACTCTGTACGAGCTCTATGCTTTTGTACAGATTCCAGGACGCGCTCGATGCGTCTTGAGAAAGGCGTGCAGTGATGTGCTGAACGCAGCGCTGCCCAAGTGGGACAAAAACAAA